ATGTCCTCATGCTTCAATATGCCACTAGGACAGAATAGATTTGATTTACTGATCAGTGAACCAGTTGAATATGTGCCTATAATTCTTGTTCCCCACATATGCCATGCCCCTAAGTTTTCCCAAACCACATAGCCCACTGACCTCCTCTATTGATAGATGCTGTCTATGTTTACCTTCCTTTAGGGCCTAGGTCAGTTCCAATTCACCAGTGAAGGCTTTCCTCAGTCACTACATTCCTCAGTGATTGGCTCTTTTGCTGAATGCTTATACAGTCTGTATATTCCATTTGAGATGTAATTTATCCAGTATTATTTCATTTTTTACAAATATATATTGAGCTCTCTCAACTGGATTTTATTACCCTTAGGAGAAAAATCTATGTCTGATATATTTCTTTATTTACCCAAAACCTAGCACAGTAAACTTTTCATAAATGTAAATTAGTCCTACATTGATTGGCTTAGCCCTATTAAAGTGCTTCTTGTTGATTTGGTGTCACATTCCAGTACACAAAAATAATTTTAAATATTTATTTTTTAATATTTCATAATAACTATCTTTTTAAGCTCTGTACTATCAGAGAAATTTAAACACATGCCTTGTATGACTATGTTCAATCCCCTAAAAAAACACTGAAAAGGGCAGGGTCAAAGGAAAAGTCCTGCAATGTTCCATAAGACACCAGAGAACTGATAAGAGTTATATCCAATTTTTTAGGTGTAGCTCTTCCACAGATCCAAACAACTAAGAAAGGAGCATAGTCAGTCAAATACTGAGGGAAAATGAGCAAATGCTTTACTGAAAATGAGATCATCTAAGTCTATGATATTTACCTTCCTTAAAAGAGTAAAATAAGTTTTTCATGACAGTTTCTTGGTTACCCAACTGTTGTTATAACTGACTATCACATTCTTATTTAAATGTTTACAAATCATCTTCTTAAAGATCTGAGCTCAATATCTTTTAAAATCTCCAGAAATGTTTTTACTTACTATAGTCTTCTAGGATCTGTTTCTCTAAAATTTCTCAAAGATAATGTCTCAGAGAGCACATCTGCAGGTTTCTCCATACTTGAAACAGTCTCCACTAGAGCCTGCAGAAGGCACACAGCCTTGCCAACACCTAGATTTTAGCCCAGGGAGACCCATTCCGGAATTCTGACCCCCAAAACTATAAGATAATAAATCTGTGTTGTCTTATGCCACCAAGTTCATGGTAATTTTTACAGCAGCAATAGGCAACTAATACAGTCCCTGATTCAAAAAATCTTGGCTCAATATCAAGCTCCTGTCTTTCTGCCAAGGTCTTGTGTTTATCTCCAGATTCTTGGTCTAGATTTTGATTCCATTATCAGGCTGTCCTTTAACATATTCCTGAACCCTCGTGCCAAGGTCTAATTTATTCATCCAAGACTCATATTTACATCCTGTTTCTTGACCTACTCCCTAATTCTAACTCGTATTTTTACTCCTATATTTTTACTTCTCAGCTCCCAATTCTACGAGGGCCTCCCTGGGCCTGGTCTACTATAAGCTTAAACCTCTGATTGTCTACTTTGCCTTGTTATGGGATTACCAGTTTCTTTACTTCCCCTAAATCCATAACCATTGGCCTAATGTTTACAAATTACTTAATATCAAATCAAAATAAACCGGGGTAAGTATAGGGGTAGTAGATTTTGTTAAGTAAAGAAAGGAAAATCAATAACATTAACCATAAAGTTTTAAACATACTATAAACACAAACTGTCTGTTTGAAATAAATTTAAATTTCTACATCTAGATAAACCGCAACTCAAGTATCAGTTGAGCCACTGAATAAAATTTTGAAAATCCTTAGGTAACAAAAGGTACCATAAAACTGGATTAAATTTAAATTCAGCTTTATTAAAAGAGAAAATGAGGTAGAAAGGCACATCCTAAAAACTAAATAACAGTTAGTTTGATAGTGATTCCTGTTTTCAAATGAGCCTAACAGCACTAAAGACAACATAAGTTCACTAGAAGAAATCATAGCAAATTAACCTAACACCTTTTTTTTAAGAGGACAATTAAGTTGATTATTTAATAAGGGCATCTTGGGGACAGAGGATAAACTAAGTTCAACAAAGTTGTCCTTACTAGCCATGTGAAAAGATTAAAGTTACAAAATAATTAATAGTTAATTATTATTAACAATAATAATTAATAATTAAAACCTTGAACTGTGTACTGTTAGTGGGAATGTAAAATGGTGCACCCATTAAAGAAAACAGTATTGGAGGTTCCTCAAAAAATTACAAATAAAATTAGCATATGATCTAGCAATCTTACTTTTAGGTATATATCCAGAAGAACTCAAAGCAGGATCTTGAAGAGGTATTTGCATACCTATGTTCATTGCAGCCTTATTCACAGTAGCCGAGAGGTGGAAGCAAGTCAATGTTCACTAATGGATAAATGAATAAATATAATGTGGTGTATACATACAATGGAATACTATGCATCCTTAAAAAGGAAGGAAATCATGTCACATGCTACAATATGGATGAACCTCAAAGACATTATGTTAAGTAAAATAAGCCAGTCACAAAAAGATAAATACAATATGATTCTATAAACATGAGGTATCTAAAGGAGTCAAAATCACAGAAAAAGAAAGTAAAAAACTGATTGCCATGGGCTGTAGGGAGGTGGTATTAGTGCTTTATGGGTATAGAGTTTCAGTTTTGCAAGACAAAAAATTTCTAGAGATCTGGTGCACAACAATAGGAATATACTTAATACTACTGAACTATGCACTTAAAAATAGTAAAGATGGCAAATTTAGTGTTATGTGTCTTTTACTGCAATATAAATATATTTAAAAACCCTTGAACTGAATAAACAAGATGGTTTGTGACAAGAATAAATTTTATTTATGCTTACTAATCAGGAAATTTATGCTTACTAATCATGAAATTTTATATTCCAATTACAATAAACATAATAAATAAGCATGGTAGGCTCCCTTTAAGTGGCTCCCAATGATCCCTGGTATTCATACTCTATGTAATTCCTGTGTGTATGTGTGTGTGTGTGTGTGTGCAAGTGTGTGCATGTGCATGTGTCTGGGTGTGCTGGGCATGGCGGAAGGCTGGACCTAATGAATAGAATATAGCAAAAGTGGATGGGACGGCACTTTCAAGATGAGGTTATAAAAGGCTGTGACTTCTGTCTTGCTCATATTCTCTCTTGTGCTCTCCTGCTTGCTTGCTCTAGTGAAGCCAGCTGCCACTTAGGAGCCACCCTGAAGGGAGGCAAGGAGTTGAAGGCAGCCTCCAGACCAGCACAGGCCAGCACTGCACTAAGGCCATCAGTTCAACAGCCCACAAGGAACTGAATCGTGCCAACAACCACATGAATGAATCTATAACAAATCCCTCCCCAGTTGAGCCTTGAGATGACTACTGCCCTGGCCACTGTGAGAGAACTCAGAAGCAGAGGGTCTACATGGATTCCTGACAATCAAAAGCTAAAATAATAAATGTTTTAAACCACTAAGTGTTGGAATGATTATTTTACATGACAACATGTAATTAATCCATTAATTACATGGTATGTTAAAAGGAGATGCCAAAAAAAATGTGGACCAAAGTAAAGGTTGGGGGGAGGGTATAAGTGCAAGTCACAATTTTTAAAAGGGGTATTACAAAGACTGACACAGGAATATTTATGGTAGCATTATTCCTAAAAGTCAGAAAGTGAAAACAGTCCAAATGTTCATCAATTGGTAAATGGGTAAACAAAAAATGTGGTATGTCTCTCCAAGGGAGTATTATTCAGCCATAAAGAGAAATGAAGTACTGACACATGCCAGAACATGGATGAACCTCAAAAATATTATGCTAGGTGAAGAAGTCAGTCAGAAAAGACCATGCACTGCATGATTCCATTATAGGACATGTTCAGAAAAGAAAATCTATAGAGACAGTAGTAGTTTAGTGGTTTTCTGAGGATGGATGTGGAAACAGGATTAATTGTAAGTAGACATGAGAGACCTTATTGGGGTGATGGAATCATTCTAAAACTGGAGCATGGTGGTTAGTGGTTGCTCAAATCAGAAAATTTACTGAAAGCCATGAAATTGTAGACTTAAAACAGGTGAATTTATGGTATATAAATTATACTTCAAAAAAGCTGCTTAAAAAATTGGGGGTGCTAATAGGGCACTATTGAGAACATAACATTAGTAGAAATTTCAAGGAAGCAAGATATTAGCCATGTCCCTATCTGGGGGAAACATGCCAGAAAACAGAGAGCATATACAAAGACCCCAGGGCAGGGGATTACCTGCAGCACAGCAAGGGTGCCAGTGTAGCGGGAGCTCAATTTCAAAGCAGAAGGTAGGAGATGAACACAGAAAAGTAAGATGGTGGTGAGGGAATCACATAGACTTTTTACACCACTAGAAGGACTTTGGATTTTACCATCTTTTTTATAGAAAAAAGACAGGTGTAAGAAGGCTTTGGGCAGAGGAGTGATATGATCTGACTTGCATTTTAAAAGGATCAGACAACATAAAGAAATTATAAAAAGAAAATGTAAAAGACACCATATAAGTTAGCTGCCTCCAGAGTTACTGACCTCTCTTATCTAACTGGGATATTGGAGAAGTCCCCCATTAAAAGGAAGGGGAAACTTGTTAGTGTCTCAAAATGTGGCCTGCAAGTCACCTGCATCAAAACCTACATGGAGGCTTGTAACACATGCAGGCTGTCAGGCTCCAGGCCCCACTTCTGAATATCTGGGCTTGGGATAAGACTCTGAATTTTACAGACTTTTGAGGTGACATCTTTGAGAAACACAATGAACCAGATAAACATTAAGATCCCTTCAAACTCTAAATTATGAGAAAGTACACAGACTACCTAAACCATGTTTATCTAAAGGAATGTCTAGGATTTACTATAAATGGACATCTGAATTGATTATTTTATTACAGATGAAGTGACCTTTTTTCCCATTCTCAAAAATCCTTACCCAGTTGTTTTTTTTCCCAGCATAAATTTCCATGTTCTCTCCATACTGTGGCTCTTCCAGTAATGTCTGGTATTCAAACATGAGGCGGGAGCTCTCACGGAGGCGGCTACATTGAAATTGATGATACTGTTGCACAAGTTCCTTCACCACAAGTAAGAGGCATTCAGGATTTGAAGGATTCCAGGAGGCAAGATTCTGTAGAAGCCATAAATAAAAGACCACTTAAAAATGAATTTTCATTCAATCCAGTATCCCTGTCATACATCAATATACAGGAAAAGAACAATAAAAATCTAAGAGGAACAGGCTACTCTTAATTAGCGATAAATCCAAAGATGAAGTTAGAAGGGTCTTCTGACCTTGATAGTTTCTCCTGCCTTCTAAAAATCCTTGTAGAAAAATCAAGGAGTAATTCTGCCATTAACAGGCAGAAACAGTAAAGTGTAAGGCAGGTTAGTAACAAAATAAGAGACCTAAATATCCTAGAAGACCATAATTATAGCCCTGGAAGACTTAATTTGTTTCTTATTCTCGTATAATTTTATTTTTTTCTATATCTACCTAAATTCAGCATTATATGCTAAAGTAATTCAACTCAAATCCACGGACCATCTGTATCTATAATACGAGATATAAATAAATGCTCTGTAAACATTAGAGCCTCACAAAAATATAAGCACAATGGTGATAGTTCAGTCTGAAAAAGATAGGAACAAAGAAGAGACAAGGGAAAATGCCTACCAAACACCCAAGTCTGAATAACCACAGTTCAACTATCAGTCGTTCTTTCAAGTAATAAAGAAAGGTTCCAAGAAAAAAGCAGCTAGTTCAGTTTGCAAGTCAATCACACTAATGATTTTCCTTGAGGCTACATTAATACTTTCTCGTATGCAGAAGTCATCCCTGCATATTTCTCATTTTGTCACACAGAATACTGAAAAGATGTGAACTTAATGGTTGGGACTTAATACAATTCATAATTTTTTATTATTTCATCAAGGGTATTCTTAAGTGAACTGGCATTTTTTTTTTAAGTGAGAATGTGTGGCAATGGAGGATACAAGTACAGTTTGATCCCTGCCTTGGTAAATGCTAAAGCCTCAGATTTATCCACCACTGCTTCTGCAGTGTAAGTACAAACATCAACATTATAAAAAAGAGAAATAATATCTTAATATGATTATGAAATAGTTTTGACTTTGCCAGCCCCTGAAAGGGTCTCAGGTATCCACAGGGGTCTGCAGACCACACTTGGGGAACCATCAACATTACTTTATATTGCTTTAGGAACAAACCAAGCACAGCTTCTATCAAAAGAAAACAAAGAAAAGGTAAATAAATACATTATTTAAAAGGATAGTAATGAAATTTGCTCTACTGAGTCGTGTTATTTATAGGTAATAAAAGACAATGGGGAAATCACTTCTTGCTCTGTCATTTAAAGAAAAAAAATATGTCTTAAGAGATGTTCAAAGAAAGACTTGATGTTTAGAGGGAAAGGTAAAGAGCTTCAGCAGCATACATGGAATAAAAGAGGTACACTGATATGAAAGTGATTAAGAAAAGTACAAAGTCCTCCTTGGCAAACCTTTTGACCTCAATAGCCTAAAATCCCTCTTGAGCTACTCAAGACCACATTCAAAGTATCAATTGGATATAAGAACATAATATATGACTTAATATGAACATTATATAGCTTGTTATGCATTTCCTTTAGAGGTAATCATTAAACATTTATAAATAAGAAAAATACACAACATTCCTTTCTAGTCCTTGCTCCAATACTATACTAGAGAAAAAAAGAAAAGCTTTAGATGCCTCAATTTATATACACACATACATATATATATACATATACTTTTTTTTTTCTTAGAGACAGAATCTCCCTCTGTTGCTCAGGCTGTAGTACAGTGGTGCTATCATAGCTTACTAAAGACTCAAACTCCTGGGCTCAAGCAATCCTCCTGCCTTAGCCTCTCAAGTAGCTGGGACTATAGACGCACAACACTGCACCCAGCTAATTTTTCTTATTTTTTGTGGAGACAGGTCTCACTATGTTGCCCAGGCTGATCTCAAACTGGGGCCTCTCAGAGTGCTAGGATTATAGGCATAACCCACTGCACCTCCACTCAGTTTATGTTTTTAAAATTCTATTATTTCTCTTTAGTTGCCTGTCAAGTACAACCCTATATCCATACAACCAAAAAAAAAAAATGAAGACATATAAGTTGGCAAACATCTCTTGCCAATTTGAACTCATTTCAAGTGATACAACCTAATTGTTAAATACACAGTAAAGACATGCCAACCAATCCCTTTCTGTTAAAATATAATTTCCTAATACATAGAAATATATTTGACCTCCTTGGCCATTCAAGGCATATTTTTCTGGAATACATCCCCATCAAGGGAGGTTTAGATATACCAAACAAGATAAAAATTCCTCTACTATTGCTACATGATCACTTTTACTCATTAGGTAATTTGTGGTTTGAACCACTTTGCCTAGAAGGAAAGAACACAGAAGATATACAAAGTTTTAGTCACTCTCTAAGACTAGGACATATTTTAAAAACAGGTCTAGCAAAATAAGACATTGTAGCTTTCTATTCTTTTAAGTAGGAGATAAATAAAAATGCCCAAAGTTCCTTCAGGGAAAGAGGGGGAGGAGGCATAAATAGCTGCCTTCTTTACAATTAAGGGAAAAATAAGTGTTTTTCTCTCTATATTCATAAAGTTCTTACTCTACTTATTTTTGGTAATGCATGAAGCAAGGAATCTGAAATGAGGATGGCCACAAAGAGAGAGTAGGCACAGGGCACATACTATATCAAGAAAGAAATATAATATAACCAAAATGTAAAAAAACAAAAAACAAACAACTTTTATCGGGTGGTGGGCAGGTGGGAGGGGGAGAAGGGAAAGGGTGTATACTTACATAATGGGTGTGGTGTGCACCACCTGGGGGTTGTACATGCTTGAAGCTCTGGCATGGTGGGGGGGGAGGAGGGTGCAAGGGGGGTGGCAGGGGCAATATATGTAACCCTAACAATATTTGTACACCCATAATATGATGAAATAAAAGGAGAAAAAAAAAAGAAGAGAAGTAGGATTCCCAAAATTGGAAATGAAAAATGCATTAGGAGAAAGTGATAAGATATAATCAAAGAAAACAGAAAAAAGCAAAAGAGCTAACCACCATTTTATAATGGAAACTTCATTCATTCTTGATAAAACACCTGTGAAGCAGGTGGAAGGGAAGGTGTTATGCCAGTTCTTTTCAAAAACTGCTTAACATGAGAGACTGAAGAACTTCGGTGATATTCAAGTGTAGACAACAACTGAAACAGTGTAGAATGTAAATCTTTTAACCCTCCATTCAGTTCACTAAAATATCAGCTTCTAACCAAAGAATTGGCATGTGCCTCTTTGTGGTTATGACACATCTTGTATGTAGAGGTAATTCTAGATTCCCTACTTTGGCTTCCTGTCCAGACTGCCTGACATGAGGAATGCTGCCAGCTCATGTGACTCTCAACCTTCTTATTACATTTCTCTCTCATAAATACATTCCGCCACGTACCTTATACTCCCAAATCATTGGCCTTGTAGATTTGAACAAAACCAACCAATACTCAGCTCCTTATAGAAGCTTTCTTATGTCAGAAAGATAGTTAGGGATAACGTTTTCAGAGGCCTAGCTCACCCTCAATTTAGGTCTCACTTACGTAAAACCATAATGTTTTAGCCACACTGAAACAAATTTAGACACGCACAAGGACATCAGTAAATGGAAAAAATTGGGAAACAATGTAGTAGGTGCATGTCTTTGGGGAGACAAAGGAGCAAAATAAGCAAATGAACAAATGAGATCTCGAATCATCACTGCCTAATAATGGAGGGGGGAAAAATCTTCAAAGAGACAAAAAATTTCTTTTATAAAATAATCTCATGATAAACATTTTTCATAAATAAAAGGATAAAATACAGGAATAAATTAGAAATATAACAAAAATTATCTAAAACTTACTAAAAAATTTGCACAACTGTCTAGGATATCAATAAAAAGAAATCAAAATTGATTACCAATATATGAAAAGTATGTAATTTTATTAATAGACAAAGAAATATAATTTTCGTTTCTCCTTTTCATAAACTAATTTTTCATTGAAAAAGTAATAAATGCACATAGTAAGAGAATTTTTTTTCAAATAGCATAAAAGAGTGTAATGAACAATATTAATTCTCTTTCCCAACCTATAATACCAAATCCTCTCCCTAAAGAAGACTATTCTTACCTCTCCCTAAAGAAGACTTATACAGGGACTGTACATGACGCCAACGTCTGACCCTTCTTGAGTACTCCCACAGGTCATCCATGGCTTTGCCCACTCTATGCTTCTTCCCCCATACTCTGCTCCCATGGTTCAATTAGGCTTCCTTGGATCAGAGTCTTACTGTGAACTCAACAACCTCACTTTTACTCCAAGACAGGGCTTCAGTTCCACAAATTGTTTCTTGCTCCCATGGGACTCATTGATTTGACCTGCCCTTCATCCAGCACTCCCACAAGAGAAGAAAATTAGGCAAAAATTATGAGAAACAAAGTTTATATCTTAAATTAGCCAAGTTCATTTTTTTTTAGTGAATAGCTAATATTGGCAAGGATGTAATTTAGTGGACACTTTTATGCATGAGAGTGTAAATTGGTACCAGAAGTTTATGTATGTGTGTACGTGTATATGTATGTATATGAGTGTGTGTGTGTGTATATATATATATATATATATATAATCTTAGAAATCTTTATTCTAAATACCACAAGAAATACCATTTCTAGGAATCTAGCTAGTAAAATCTAAAAATAAGTGGGGAGAAAGCTTTATAGATAAAAATGTAAATAGAACCATCTATAAAATCATGAAGTTGCAAATAATCTGAATACCTGATAATAATAAATGGTTTTAAAAAACTGTTAAAGCCATTCAAAGAAATAATATGAAACCAGTATGTTTCTATGTATAAATATATTGTAAGAGCATAGAAAATACTTTTGTTAAAATATTAAATGAAGACAGACATAAATCTGCATATATATTAATAATACATTATGATCACAAGTTTGGTTACCCCATCCTCTCCTAACCTTCCACAGCAAAAACTATCTATACACAGAAAAATTACTGATAGAAATG